TTCCAGGTTTTAAGGGGTTTGTGTGCCAGGATTTGAGAGGTTTGTTCCAGGTTTTAAGGGGTTTGTGTGCCAGGATTTGAGGGGTTTGCTCCAGGCTTTGAGGGCTGGGTTTGTTTGCCAGGTTTTGAGGTGTTTGTGCCAGGCTTTCATAGGTTGGTTTGCCACGATTTGAGGGGCTTGCTGCAGGTTTTGAGGGTCTGTTTTGTCGCAATTTGAGGTATTTTACTGACTCTCGGTCCAGCTCTCTCCCTGCGGAACCCGCGACCGTCATGGGCGGCACGAGGGGGCGGCGGCTTCTCCTCTTCCGTTCGCTTCGTGTCTGGATCAATTTCGCTTTCGATTTCTCCGGGCCACCTTCGGGGACGGGGCCCGTCCCGCATGGGGCAGGGGCCGCAGGGCCCCGGCGGTGGCGGCTGCGGGAGCGGGAGCAGGATCCCGCCCGGGACACCATGAGGCTGGTGAGGGGACCGGGGACACCCACCGGGAACCGCCCCGCGGGCCGGGGGTCACCCCGAGGGTGACACCGGCCGGTTCTCGGGGGGTAACCCGCGATATCCTTGTGTTGCCCCGAGGTCCTCGCCATGGTGTTGGTCACGCAGCTGGAGCGCTCGGACGCCGCGGGCTGTGAGCCGGGCGAGTACCCCAATGGCACCGAGTGCTGCCCCATGTGTGCTGCGGGTACGTACCGGGCTACCTGCCCTGCCTGCCCTGCCTGCCCTGCCTGCCCTGCCTGCTCAGAGCCTCGGCTTGGGGTGGCTCCCTCTGCCTCAGGGATCATGGAGTACCTACATCAGTGGGCACTGGCCATGACCTGCCCCACCTTTGTGGCCATGGGCATCCACCTCAACGGGCAGTGGCTGTGAGGTGACCCACCTTAGTGGACAGTGGCCATGGGGACCCGCCACCGCAGCCATGGCCACTGTGCCCTGACAGGAACCAGGCAGCCCATGGCTGTGAGCGTCACCCCAGGGTATCCTCTGCTGCCAGCTCTCAGCCCTCACCCAGTGCCGGGCCCTGTCCCTCCCTTGGGAGCCTCCGGAGTGGCCGTAACAATCAATAATCTCTGCTGGGGTAGTTGGTAAAGTCACAGTTTCCAAGGACCTTCATTTTGTGCCCTGGTTTCTGTTTTGGGTTATGTCCTTGCTCTTAGGATATTTCTGAGGTCCTTGATAGTTCGTCTGTAGTATTTAGGTGTGGTTGGGTGCCAGTGTTGGTCCCTGGCCACGTGAGCTTTGCTTACGGAGCTGCTTCTTTGGGGATGGTTTATGGTTTTTAGGATGGCGGGTTTTCAAGCACTGCACTGCCAGATCCAGCACAACGTGCATACCTTGTGTGGAGGGGACCTATACAGATCACCCCAATGGTTTAACACGCTGCAGGACATGCAAACTGTGTGATGAAGGTAAGGAGGATGCTCAAGAACCAGTTTAAATGGATTTTTCAAGCCTTTCCATGGATACATTCTCCCTTCTCCTTTCTTGCCTCATTTGCTTGACAAATCAGTCAATGTGAAGAACAGGCTCGTGTCACTCTGCAGACATGAGAGTGCTGTGAGCTGTGGGATGGAAGGGAAAAACTGACAGGGAGCTTCAGCTGGCATCACTGGAAGTTTGATCTCTCAGGTTATAGCCTCTCTAGATTATAGTGAGGTGTCTTGGAGTACTGGGATAAGGTAGGCCTGGAAGAACTTGACTAGGACAGCTAATTTAAAAACAACTGAGCTGGGAGTATTTTGGTTTTGCTGTGCAACACTTATGACAAATGTAAATGTGAGCCAAGGTGCTGCCTGAGTGAGGAACAGGGCCTCTTTCCACATCCAAAGCTCTGGTGCTCTTCAGCAGTGCATCAGGACAAGGCTAAATGTTGTCTTTTGCTTTGGGTTGTGTTTCCCCGTGTCAATGCTGTGGCTCTGTGTGTGTGGATTTCTCTCAGGGGCCAACCTGGTGACAGCAGCAGCGTGTACCTACACGAAGAACACAGTGTGTGGCTGTCG